GCCCCGGCTTGCGCTTCCACCTGCGGGCTCGCCAGGGCGCCCCCGCCCCCGCTTCCCCCCAACAGGCGCCTGGTTTTCTGGGATGCGCGTCCTTGTCCCGAAGAAGACAGCAATCGTGAGTGTCCTGACAGCTTCAAGAGAGATTAGGAAAGCGGACTGGGTCAACTTAGCGAGCGCGCTTGGACCGCACTTGCTGTCTGGGACCAAGAGACAGGACAGAAAAGTCTGGAAGCTGGAGGCAGAGGGGAGGGGCGGTGAGGACTACAGCTCCCATCAGGCGCCGGGGCAGCGACGCCTGCGCACTGAGCGCCGGTTGCCCATGCGGCCCTAGGGCTGGGAGCGCGGCGCCGCGCTTCGCTGCGGGGGAGGCCATGGCGGAACCTTCCCAGGCCTCGACCCCGGCTCCGGCCGCGCAGCCCCGGCCCCTTCAGTCCCCAGCCCCTGCCCCAACTCCGACTCCTGCGCCCAGCCCGGCTTCAGTCCCGACTCCAGCTCCCACTCCGGCACCAGCCCCCGCCCCAGCTGTAGCCCCAGCCGGGAGCACAGGGACTGGGGGCCCCGGGGTAGGAAGTGGGGGGACCGGGAGCGGGGGGGATCCGGCTCGACCTGGCCTGAGCCAGCAGCAGCGCGCCAGTCAGAGGAAGGCGCAAGTCCGGGGGCTGCCGCGAGCCAAGAAGCTTGAGAAGCTCGGGGTCTTCTCGGCTTGCAAGGTGGGGGCGGGGCCTGGGTGAAAGGGGCGGGGCTTGGGGCATCCTAGGGCTCGGGTGGGAATGGGGGAAACGCTCAGGTTGCGGAGCGGCTCCTGCCCCAGAAGTACAGGTCATTGATTGATCTGCCTCCAGGCCAATGAAACCTGCAAGTGTAATGGCTGGAAAAACCCCAAGCCCCCCACTGCACCCCGCATGGATCTGCAGCAGCCAGCTGCCAACCTGAGTGAGCTGTGCCGCAGCTGTGAGCACCCCTTGGGTAAGGCAGTCAGCGCCCTTGGAGTTGAGGGACAGGGGGAGAAGGTGCTGGGTCTTGCTTAGACAGGGTGACTTAAGTGCCACAAAGCCTCATCTCTGAAAAACCAAAGATGCCTCTTAAGGAGGGTTTGGGCTGGGGATGTCCCTCCCAAGGGAGGAAAAAAGAAAACTGCCAGCCCAGAAGAGGCAGGAGCCACCCAAGGATTGACATAGGAGCAGTCAGTCTCACTGTTGGTCTCACTGGTTGGAGGGACTGAGGGTGTGTCTTGGCTGGCTGTGAAGAGGGGCAGAAGCCTTGTTGATCTGTTCTGTCCATGCTTCCCAACTTTACCACCTGTCCGTCTTGCAGCTGACCACGTGTCCCACTTGGAGAATGTGTCAGAGGATGAGATTAACCGGCTGCTGGGGATGGTAGTGGATGTCGAGAATCTGTTCATGTCTGTTCACAAGGAGGAGGACACGGACACCAAGCAGGTCTATTTCTACCTCTTCAAGGTGAGCTTTCACTGAATGAGAGTGTGAGTGAGTGAAAGAGATGAGGCATTGGTGGGGGTAGGGGTATGCTGCTCTGAGCTCTGCTACCCCCTACTCCTTCCCCTTTCTCTTCCCTTCAGCTCCTGCGGAAATGCATCCTGCAGATGACCCGGCCTGTGGTGGAAGGGTCCCTGGGCAGCCCCCCATTTGAGAAGCCTAATATTGAGCAGGTGGGTTGGGGAAGGTGGTAAGAGGACAATTGGGGGCACCTTGGAGGAGTGTGGAGCCTGTGTTCTCTCTCCTCCTCAAGCCGAGAACAGGCAGAGGTTCAGAGAAGGGAGGACGTTTTGTGCTAACCTCAGGGTGGGCGTGGAGGCAGGGAGGGGATATAGTTTCTCTTCACACAGAGCCCCAGAGTGAGAGGAGAGCCTTGTCCCCACCCTGAGAGAGTATCTTCCTTTGGATAAGAAGCCCCTCCTGGCTGCTTATACCTGCATCTCGGTTTTGTCCCCACTGCCCCTTCTCAGGGTGTGCTGAACTTTGTGCAGTACAAGTTTAGTCACCTGGCTCCCCGGGAGCGGCAGACGATGTTTGAGCTCTCAAAGATGTTCCTGCTCTGCCTTAACTACTGGAAGCTTGAGACACCTGCCCAATTTCGGCAGAGGTCCCAGGCGGAGGATGTGGCTACCTACAAGGTCAATTACACCAGGTAGGCCCAATCAGGGACAGCACGTGGGGAGGCTTGTAGGCCCAGCCTGGGTTCAGTGGTTTCTACCCTCACCTGCCACCACCCCTACCCCTTACCCCTTACCCCCAGATGGCTCTGTTACTGCCACGTGCCGCAGAGCTGCGATAGCCTCCCTCGCTACGAGACCACTCACGTCTTTGGGCGAAGCCTTCTCCGCTCCATTTTCACTGTTACCCGCCGGCAACTGCTGGAAAAGTTCCGAGTGGAGAAGGACAAGCTGGTGCCCGAGAAGAGGACCCTCATCCTCACTCATTTCCCGAAGTGAGTCTCTTTCTGGCCTATTAGGATTTTGCCCCAAGTTCACATCCTCGCTGTTGTCCCCTTTTTTCCAGGAAGGCTTCCTGGATTGGTCCCTCCTCTCCCTCCATGGGCCTTTTGGGATCTGGGCGTCTACCTGGCAGACTTGCCCATGGCCCAGAAGCAACTTGCTAGTATTTGCCTTTGCACATACTAGTCTGGGGATGGCAGGTACATGGCTCGAGCTAACGCTACCCCCCACACCCCGGTAGGCGTTACTAATTGCTTCCCATGGGGGCCAGGACACAGCCTCAGAATCCTTCCCACCACAACACTCCAAGAAACCAGAACTTACACTTAAGGTGAAACCAGTTTCCACCCTGTTCTAGTCCTTTCTGTACCATTATCCTCTGTTCTGTGCATCCTTCCTCCCATTTGAAACCTGGCTCATAACTTCCCTGTTCACAAAGCCTTTGCTGACCAATCCTGGCCTTTAGTGCCCCTCTTGCCACCAGGTAGGAACAAGAGGTGGCAAGATGGGGTGGATTCTGAGCTTGTTTTCATAATGAGGGGAGGAGGGGACTCAGGGTGACTTGGTGCCCTGCCTGGCCACACAGCACAGATGGCATCAGCTCAGACCCTGTCTCCCTGTGCTACATATCATAGCAAAACCGGACTCTTTGATCTCTGTCCTGGGTGTGTCCTATCCTCTTACCTTCAAATAGAGGCTCACAGAAGGCAGGGGTCTGTGCTTCCCCCTTCAGACTAGGGCTTCCTGGAGGTCAGAGGCTTCCTGCTCTCTGAGGCTCCCAATTCCTTAAGAGCAGGGTCTGTCTCTTTGGCCAACCTCCAGTCCCTCTGGTGCCTGGTCCAGGCTGCACCGTTGGGTGGAGGACAGAGTTGTGGGACAGACTGTGCCCTCCCCACAGATTTCTGT